CCCCCCTTAACTTGCGCTGTCCCCATTTTGTGTGTTGGTGTGTGAGTGTGTGTAAATTGAGTGTGTGTTTGTGTTGGCACATGCCAAGCTGGTCCTGTTAAGCTGCCGAGGCAGAAGTAACTCAAAGACTTGGCAGGTGCCGGCCTCCGTGTTTTTGCGTTCCTGCAAGATGGACGTGGCAGCTTCCTCTCCTGCGTGGATTTTATTTCCAAATGAGGAAGCAGCCAGACGCTTTCTGATGTTTGCCCACCCCCCAAAACACCAGCTACACACAACAACTACACTACCCCTGATCTCCATGGTCCCGCTGGAAAGACCTGCTCTCAGAAAAAAATGTCTTGCTTGTGTCTGCAGGTTTTCAGCACTGTGTTGTTCACGAGACATTTCACTGGATTAATTAAACAGTACTTGCAGATTTTGACACATTATAATGCATTATACAAATGGTAGTTATAGAAAGTGTTACCAAATGTTCTGCTCCGAGGCTGCCTCCAACAATACTAGTACAATGTATATAAAAAAAGCAAGTAAATCGAAAAGTACACACAACAGTGAGGAAATCAAAATAAAATAAAATATAAAAATGATTTCCATATTACAACTTGGACTGGTAGATGTTGGACATTTCAACCACTAATCCAGCTCTTTAACAAACAAAATAAAGAATTAACTGAACACTAGACGAAAGAAGAATCCACTAAAACTCATCCAAACCTCATTCCAATTCTAAAATGTTAAACGGACATATGTAAATCCATATTTTCTTCTGCGTTGGTGTCTTTAGAAACGCTGGGCTGGAGGTGCACCCTGGTGAGCGCCGGTTGATCTCCAGCGTGGCTCTGGAGGCAGAGGACCCGGACAACTCCCCGCAGCAGCTGTTCTACTCCCTGATCGCTGTGCCACGCTTCGGAAAGCTACAGATAAAGGTGAGGAGACAACGGTGATGTGTGTGGATATCTTTCTTTGATTTGAGACAGTGGTGAAATGTGCTGTACTATTTTGAGGTTCTCGCACTTTACTTAAGTATTTACTTTTTATGCCATTCTATATTTTCACTCCACTACATCGGTCTGAGAGCTTTAGTTACTATCCAGATTATTGTTAGTTATCCCCTCCCTGTCTGCTGATATTTTTGAATGTTTGTGATAAACTGAATGATGAAGTGTTCCTTTATGTGTTGAGGATATTATATTTATTCTTTACCTTACTACACTTAATTAAAAAGCCTCAACAATAAACTGGAAAATGCATTGTCACAAAGCTAAACTCTGAATAGCTACTTTTTTAGAGATGTAGTCATATACATTTAGCAGTAATATTGATCCAACAAACATTGTATACAGTTTATGTATATAATAGTGATAACACTGACACAGGAAACATTCAACTGCATATTGAGTACTTTTTTTTTGTACCATTTTCACACAAATACCTTTTTTGACTTGATTTAAGGATCTGAACACTTCTACTATGCCTGGAAAGGTACCTATCCTTAAAGATGGTTTCTTACCCTCTACTATTTTTTTATTATTATAAGCAATGCATGTATTTGTCTAAACTCGAATATAAACTGGTCATTGTTTCTGTTTTAGATGAGCTCATGTTGTGGTGGTTCATCTGCAGAAGGAGTCGGCTTGGAGCGAGCTGTCGGCCGGTCAGAACTTCACTCAGGACGATGTGGAGATGAACCGTCTCTGGTATGCTCACAATGCCGCCACAAACGCAGCAGGGTTCAAAGGTCACGACAGCTTCCGCTTCACCCTCAGCGACCTGGACAACGAGACTCCAGCACAGAGCTTCTTCATCAACGTGCACACTGTGCAGAAAGGTCAGCTTTCACCTCAGTGGTAGAGTGAAGACAAGACTTCACTCTCGTCTTCACTCATGGCGGATGGCATGCCCTAGCCTTTATAAAACTTTACAAGGAAGCAATGCTGTGTTTCAATAATTTTATAATATTTTCACGGCTTTACCTTTGTGTCACACAGCCTTTACCCACAGGGAACAGACGTGGTATCTATTAGCGATGTTACGTTTGCGAACGATCCGATTCTTTTGAATGTTCTCTTTGGTACGAACGAAGGGAACCGAGTCGTACTTGGTGAGAGCCGTTCTTTCTATCGTTGGTTCACCGCCTGCCATAAATCCACTCACCTGAGAGATGTAGCAAGTTATACATTTTTCTGTGAGTAAAAGTAGTTTTCTTACTCAAACACTCTGAACAATGTGGTCTGGAAAACCCTTTCAGTTTTACTCCTTTTACTGTTGGTGTTGTTCATGAAGCATTATCCAAGTTAGATCCTAGGAAAACGGCTGGCCCGGACAACGTAGAACCTTTCTTTTTAAAGATAGCTGCAGATTTTATTGCTCCATCTCTTACTTCTCTTTTTAACCTCTCCCTCAGCACAAATACAATTCCAAAAGTATGGAAGTCTGCTTATGTCTTGCCTTTACTGAAAGGAGGGGAGGCAACTATTTTAAATAACTATAGGCCAATCTCTAAATTGTCAGTTCTGGCTAAAGTGCTCGAACGACTAGTGAGTGAGCAAGTAAAGGAGTTTTTATGTAAAAATGATATCCTGTCTAAACATCAGTCAGGCTTCAGAAAGAAACATAGCACCATCACTGCGACAATGAAAGTGGTGAATGACATTACTAGTATTTTAGATAATAAGCAGAGTTGTGCAGCTCTGTTTATTGACCTTTCCAAAGCGTTTGACACCGTTGATCATCGCATCTTAAAGCAGAGGCTACTCAGTA